AAGCCATATAGAGGCATATAAAGGCCCTAAACTTTAAGCCCTGAACACTACACCCCAAAACGTAAACACTAAACAAAACCCCAAACCCCAAACACTACCACTAAACCCTACATCCTAAACCTTAAAAAAGCATGTTCCCCTCACTAAACCCTAAACCCTAAACCCTGAAACCTGGGATTATCTGTCTGGCCTTGGTCAGGCCGAAGTTGGGTGCCTTCACCTGAGCCATTGTCTAAACTCCTAGTATCCCCCTTAGTAACCCTTGTAGTAGTCCCCTATATAATCCCTTATATAACCCCCTTGAAGGAGTTTAGACTCTAGCTCACCTGGAGATTCGGCGGTTCGGGGTTTACGATTTAGGGGTTTAGGGTTTAGGATTTAAGGGTTTGGGGTTTTTAGGAGTTAGGGGTTTAGGATTTAAGGGTTTAGGGGTTTAGGGTTTAGGGCTTACGACTTGGGGGGATATGGGGGGGTTATATAGGGATAATGAAAAACATGGAAACTTTCCTTTAGGGTTTAAGGTTTTTTTGGGGTTTGGGGGCTTAGGGGTATAGGATTTAGGGGTTTAGGGGTTTAGGGGTTTACGGAGTTTACGATTTTTGGGTTTAGGGTTTAGGGGTTTAGGATGTAAGGGTTTAGGGTTTACGGGTATAGGATTTAGGGGTTTAGGATTTAGGGGTTTAGGGGTTTAGGGTTTACGGCTTGGGGGGGATCTAGGGGGTCATATAGGGATAATGAAAAACATGGAAGCTTCCCTTTAGGGTTTAGGGGCTTTGGGGTTTGGGGGTTTAGGATTTAGGGGCTTAGGAGTTTACGATTTAGGGGCTTAGGGTTTAGGGGATATGTCAGGGTTTCTACGGTTCTGCAAAGATATATGATGCTCCCTCGCAGGTCCTGTGATGCAAGCAGTCCCTATGGCCGTATGTCCATTGGGAAAGCTGCCTGCCTCCACTCTCATACACCCGCTCCACGCGCAACAAAACAGAATGTGAAGAATTGCAACTGGGGCTGCGTGTTATGGCATGGTCTCTAAGAGACATTACCCATCTCGATTATGTGTGGAGGCTCCTCAGGGTTTTCCCAGTTCAGTTTGACACCATGTTCGAAACAGACTCCGACAGCAGAATGTGGGGTGATCATCTGCCACAAATCTCGAAAGCACTTGACTAGATACACTTAATACACTTGAACCATACCATCCTTCAGCCGATGGAATATTTGGGAAACCAACAACGGTTCGGGGCTCCCCCGCACCTCAATCGCTAGACCCTAAGCACAGAATCCAAACCTAAACTGCTTTGCTTACTTCGAAGGACTTGAACCTCCCCCCGACCCTTAACCAAAAACCCCAAATCCGAAACATGTTCTCAAGGATGGCTTCGCTTGGAGGCTCATGTGTTTCATGACCTGGTTCTACTGACAACTGGGTACCCTAAATCCTAAGCCCTCGCAAGGCCAGTTCGGAGGACCGAAACTAGACCAACACTCCTTTTGTTGCCAGCCACATAGCCAACCTCCAAACCCTAAAGAGTATGGGGTTCAGGGTTTAAAGTTAAAACCTTTAACCCACCTTGAAACCCAGACCCTAATTGGAGGTTCATGGGACTTTGTGACACTTATACCTGCGATTGTAACACTACTGTTAACCCCCCAAATGGCCTTGTAGGGCCATTGTAGAGGTTACCCCCAGGATGTGTAGGGTTATAACCTCGGTTGTACGCGGTTACCAAGCTGCATGAACCTCCAAGTAGACAAGGACCCAGCCTCAGGGGGTGCCTTGGATGCACGGAGCTCTGCACAAAGACGCCGCGCAGCCGCCTTTAAAAAAGGCTTTCGATCTTTGCAGGGGCTTTGAGGAATTTGGGTTGTGGCTTAGCGTTCAAGGCTTCTAAAATCAAAGTGTAGGGGTTTTGGCATTCAGGGTTTGGGGCTAGGGCCTAGGATTGAAGGCTTCTGGCGGTAAAGTTCGGATTCGGCGGTTCAGGGTTTGCCCTAAACCCGAACCTTGATCGGGTGGAGGCTTATGAAGTGAAAATTGTAGGTCCAGGTGGGGGATGGGGATGGGCTCAATCTTGAACCCTAAGCCCTGAATCCTAATCCCTAAAAAGGTCCAAACCCTAGGGTTAACGTCCAGGCTTTTGAAGGGGGGTTTGCAGTTTAGGGTGTTTCAGGCTCTTCAAGAGGTTTTGGGATGCAGGCAGGGATAGTGGGGATATGGGATGAGGGCTCCAGGGCATTTGGGACCTAAGGCTTAAGGACGTCATTACACACCCTCGAAGAAATGGCTGCCACTTCCATTATTGTAGGCATTCCTAGAGGCAAACTTGCAGATACTCTCTTCGAGCCCACCAGGTGCAGTCACCCTCCGCGAAACAGGGTTTAGGGTTGATGCTTTAGAGCCTGGGGTTTAGGGCTTAAGGTTTGTGGCTTGCCGCTTGCGAGGGTTTATTGATTAGGTCTTGGAATCTTGAATCCCCCTGAACCATGAACCCTAACTCCCATGCAGCAGCCTAAATAACCAGAAAGTCTGTGCCTTCAAATCATTCTAGAACTAGAGTGGAGATTCTATCTGTCCTTTCAAAGTCCATCCTGGAATTTGAGTAGAAACTCTATCCTCTAAACCATTCTGGAACTAGCATAGAAAAGCTATACTCTAACATCTCTAAAATCATTCTAGAACCACGCCTGAACATACCGTGGGCCTCCTACACTACTCATAATTGCAACCTAAAGCGCCAAACCCTAAACTCTAGATGCTAAACCCTGAGCTCCGACCAGAAACCCTAAACCCTAAACTTCTAGAGTTTTGGGTTCTGGCTTAGGGCTTGCGATTTTGGCATCAGCTTGGGGGGATAAACCCTGAACCGCGTTTTAACTCCGGGCCTCTGTAGCCTTTGCCTCTGCCTCATATGCCAGTGGCAATGCCGCCCTGTCAGCGATCTTAAGGGATGTTTAGGGATTAGGGTTTAGTTTTTAGGGTTTAGGATTAGTTAGGGTCGAGGGTTTGAGGTTCAGGGATTAGGGTCCAGACTTCAGGGTTTGGGGCTTAGGGTCTAGGGTTTGGGGATTAGGGTTTAGGGATTAAGGTCTAGGGTAGGGATTAGCGTCTAGGGTTTAGGGTTGGCGGGGCAACTCTTTTGCGATCCTGTAGATCTCTAGGAACAATATAGTTGAAATTCATTTCCATGCCAGGAATATTTAAAATGAGCTCTAGTCTAAACTCCAAGTATACCCCTTCATATCCCCTATAGTCGACCCTATCTAATCCCGCCCCTATATAACCCCTTTACAGCTCATACTGATCTACGAATGAAGAGGATTCCCATTGGGGTCTCGGGTTGGGGCTTGGGGAGTAGTGGGCAAGGTTTAGGGAGTGGCGCCCAAGGTTATTGAAAACTGGGGTACCCGGACACACTCTAGGAGTATCCGGAGATTAGGGCTCTCAAAAATACAAGAGCTCAGTCTCAAGTGCTTCCGCAAACCCTCAACCACAGAATCCCTAAACCCTGTAATGCCTAAGCCACTAGTCGCTGAACCCTTCTTCCTCAACCCTATACTTACTAAGTCCCTCTGACCCTCCAAGTCTTCCCTAACCCCTAAGGTCCAAAATTAACTACTTCCTAAACCCCAAACCCTAAATCCCTAAACGCTAAACCCCTGAACCCTTAATCCCCAAACCCCATTTCCCTTAACCCCTAAATCCTAAATGGAGCCCTCTGGCCTCGCAGCTTGCAGTCCAGCTGGATTGTCGCCCAGTCCTCTCCAGGCTTGTCGCAGGAGAAGGTCAGGGGTTAAAGGTACTTCCTTGGATTTAGGGTTTAGGGTTTAGCATGAGCCTCCAAGTCGGGGGTTTATATCTGGCTTATAAACACAGTTCTGCATAGGTCGTACATAAACTGGGCTTCCAAGTACCTTCCACCAACACCCTAAATCCTAAAGCCTGCGTACATGATAAACCCAAAACCTTTGCTCGTGTAGGGCATGACTGCCCTGAACCACCAGGTGATGTGCTGAGCTAAGGAAAACAATAGTACTCCCTCCCCCGGAAAACAACCCCCCACCCAAACCTAACAACGAATATTGCCAAGATGCTTTTCCATACCACAAGGGGACTACCCATTTGTCAGGCTCGACTCTGAGATGAGCTGCGAGTAGGCTACGCTTAGGTTTACGGGCTACGGCTGAGGGCTTAGGCATTTAGGGTTTCGGGATGATGGTTTAGGTTAGGGTCGAGAGTTTAGCTTTAAGGTTTTGGGATCAGGCTTTAGGTTTAGGGCTTAGTGATTAAGATGTAGAGCTGAGCGTTACACTCTGATGATACATGGGTATAACAGCCTGCATGGAGGACGATACCGAAGGCTGCCCTCACCAGAAAGTGGACCTAAACCCTAAACCTAGACCCTAAACCTAAACCGGCCTCAGAATTCCACTAAAAACTACAATTTTCAGTTCTTACAATTTTGGTTCTTATTAGGATTACAATAGCCACGAATTTCAAAATTCTTTTGGAGGCCTTTATACAAACCTGCAACCCTAAACTCTAAACTGCTGGTTGGTGTGGGGTCCAAGCCTTGATCTTCCTACGCGCTTAGGGTTTTGGG